GTGGGATGGAAGCTGGCAGCAATAAGGGAAGGTGATCTGGGGAGCCGGTAGCAGGGAACCTCCTCAGTTCCAGCAAATTCCCTCATTCGGGACCGGTCAAGTCCCAAGGATGCCGGACCAGAGAGGTCCAACCTATATTTTGTGGTCCTGACCCATAATCACCCTGCCATTAGCCTAGGAGGAGGAGTCCAATATATATTCTGGGCAATGTAGTTTTTGCCAGCCTCAAGGGTCAAACGGCATAATGAGGCAACTCAGAGCCATGATATAATTAGCTTGTTGTATGTGGTAAATACTTAAAAAGGAGCTGGCATTTTGCCAAGAGCCTGATATCTCAGGGTATGTCTACACTACAGCACTAATTCGAACTAACTTAATTCGAATTAGTTAATTCAAACTAAGCTAATTCAAACTAGTGCATCTAGACCTAAAAACTAGTTCGAATTAGCGTTTTGCATGTCCACATTGAGTGGACCCTGAACCTAGGTTAAGGATGGCCAGAAGCAGTGCCAGCAGGGCATCAGGTTAGAACTTAGAGCATGGAGATGCTGTCTCAGGCTAGCTGAGGGCTGTGCTTAAAGGGACCCGACCCCCACCCCGGACAGACAGTTCTCAGGGTTCCCCGCTTGCTTGTCTACCTCGATGAGGGACAGCAAAGCAGTCCTGACTTGGGGTGCCCTGAGTGCCCACACTCGGCACATCACAGCACTCGGCCATCAGCCCGGCTGCACTTGGAACAGGCTGCCATCCGGGGGGGAGGGTCAATCGGGGGGCTGTCAGAATCCAGGCTGCCCTGCAGGAGACCTTCCACCCTAAGGAGCCCACAGAGCCACCCCAGTCCTCCCCATCGGGGGCTCATACCCCATTCCTCCCTCAGGGTATGTCTATACTACCCTCCTAGTTCGAACTAGGAGGGTAATGTATGCATACCGCACTTGGTAATGAAGCCCGGGATTTGAATTTCCCGGGCTTCATTAGCATAAGCGGGGAGCCGCCATTTTTAAATCCCCGCTGCTTCGAACCCCGTGTAGCGCGGCTACACGGGGCTCGAACTAGGTAGTTCGGACTAGGGTGCCTATTCCGAACTACCGGTACACCTCGTTTCACGAGGAGTAATGGTAGTTCCTTCATATGGGACCTGTTCCAAACCCCTGATCATTTTAGTTGCCCTCCCCTCTCCCACCCTCTCTCTTCTCCTCTCCCACCTCCTTTTCCCAGTCTCCCCGAGTTTTGTTCAATAAAGAGAGTTTCTATTTTTGAACACACATGTCCTTTATTTTGTACATCAGGAAGGGGGGATAGGGAGGGGTAAGTGGAAGGAAGTGAGGGAGGAATGGGGTACGAGCCCCCGATGGGGAAGACTGGGGTGGCTCTGCGGGCTCCTTGGGGTGGAAACTCTCCTGCAGCCCCCCGAGTGACCCCCCCCAGATGGCAGCCTGCGGCAAGTGCAGCCAGGCTGATGGCTGAGTGCTGTGATGTGCCGAGTGTGGGCATTCAGGGCACTCCAAGCCAGGATTGCTTTGCTGTCCCTCATCGAGTTAGACAAGCGAGCAGGGAACCCCTGAGAACTGTCTGTCCGGGGTGGGGGTCGGGTTCCTTTAAGCACAGCCCTCAGCTAGCCTGAGACAGCAACTCCATGCTCTAAGTCCTAATCCAATGCCCTGCCGGCACTGCTTCCGGCCAGCCTTAACCCCGGTTCAGGGTCCACTCAATGTGGACATGCTAGTTCGAATTAGCAAAATGCTAATTCGATCTAGTTTTTAGGTCTAGATGCACTAGTTCAAATTAGCTTAGTTCAAATTAATTCGAATTAAGTTAGTTCGAATTAGTGCTGTAGTGTAGACATACCTTCATTTCCTTTCCTCCTGCTTGTGACTAGCATGCACCATGCTCCATGGCTTGTGAGCAGAGCTCAGAAACCTGCCCCCTAGACATAGCAGTAATAAATAAAAGATAAACAATGTATATCACATGACGACATCTGCTGCTCTCTCCCTCCCACTGCTCAGCTTTCAGTCCACCCAAAAAATAAAGGGCGGGAGTGTGCTTAGGAAGCTGTGCAGCTGTAAGCCACCATGCTGGGTCTTGGCTGCAGCGCTACTTAACTGCTTGGAGCAGGGTGGGAAACACCGCAGAACTAAAAACATCTGAGCACTGAAATTCTGCTGATGAGCATCAGGAGATCAGTGGCTACAACCCTCGCAGCATTCCTTCAGCTATTCATCATCATCACAATCATCATTATAAACGCTGGCAGCCAGCAAAACACAGCCATTGTTTCTCTCGCACTTTCCCGCCCACTCTTCCCCCTCCCGAAGATCTGAAGACTTAGGGATGAGGGTATCTTCGTGCAGCTTAATCCTTAGCTTTTTTTTTTTTCCAGGCTATTGAGGGGACCACCTCCAAAGACGACTCTTGGCCTTAATGGTACCATATGGGCAATAGTGCTCGTTGGCCAACAAGGAAAAAAAACAGAGACTATGACGAAAGCTATTCCCTGCTGTGCCCCAATTCTATTCAAGGGACTGAGATTCAGCCCTCCTGGGTTCTTTTTCCTGACTACGTGGTCTTACGCTTTCTGACCTTCCATTTCCCTACTTGTTATGAAGGGGATGATGCTAACCTACCTTGCGGAGTCTTGTATGGCTTTGCAAATACTTGTCAAGGGCTTAGATCCCAAGGCACCAAGGTCTATAGAAGCCCAGTTTCATTATACACATTCCTTCGACAGGCACATTCCCGGTTTCTCCCAAAGAAATACCATGTGTGGGACATGAACCGATTCACACATGTACTGCCTCCACAGGGAACACGCAGCACTCGGCTAATCACGGAGTCACTGAGGGTATGTCTACACTACAAAGTTAATTCGAACTAACAGCTGTTAGTTCGAATTAACTTTGTAGTGTAGACATACCCTCAGTGACTCCGTGATTAGCCGAGTGCTGCGTGTTCCCTGTGGAGGCAGTACATGTGTGAATCGGTTCATGTCCCACACATGGTATTTCTTTGGGAGAAACCGGGAATGTGCCTGTCGAAGGAATGTGTATAATGAAACTGGGCTTCTATAGACCTTGGTGCCTTGGGATCTAAGCCCTTGACAAGTATTTGCAAAGCCATACAAGACTCCGCAAGGTAGGTTAGCATCATCCCCTTCATAACAAGTAGGGAAATGGAAGGTCAGAAAGCGTAAGACCACGTAGTCAGGAAAAAGAACCCAGGAGGGCTGAATCTCAGTCCCTTGAATAGAATTGGGGCACAGCAGGGAATAGCTTTCGTCATAGTCTCTGTTTTTTTTCCTTGTTGGCCAACGAGCACTATTGCCCATATGGTACCATTAAGGCCAAGAGTCGTCTTTGGAGGTGGTCCCCTCAATAGCCTGGAAAAAAAAAAAAGCTAAGGATTAAGCTGCACGAAGATACCCTCATCCCTAAGTCTTCAGATCTTCGGGAGGGGGAAGAGTGGGCGGGAAAGTGCGAGAGAAACAATGGCTGTGTTTTGCTGGCTGCCAGCGTTTATAATGATGATTGTGATGATGATGAATAGCTGAAGGAATGCTGCGAGGGTTGTAGCCACTGATCTCCTGATGCTCATCAGCAGAATTTCAGTGCTCAGATGTTTTTAGTTCTGCGGTGTTTCCCACCCTGCTCCAAGCAGTTAAGTAGCGCTGCAGCCAAGACCCAGCATGGTGGCTTACAGCTGCACAGCTTCCTAAGCACACTCCCGCCCTTTATTTTTTGGGTGGACTGAAAGCTGAGCAGTGGGAGGGAGAGAGCAGCAGATGTCGTCATGTGATATACATTGTTTATCTTTTATTTATTACTGCTATGTCTAGGGGGCAGGTTTCTGAGCTCTGCTCACAAGCCATGGAGCATGGTGCATGCTAGTCACAAGCAGGAGGAAAGGAAATGAAGGTATGTCTACACTACAGCACTAATTCGAACTAACTTAATTCGAATTAATTTGAACTAAGCTAATTTGAACTAGTGCATCTAGACCTAAAAACTAGATCGAATTAGCATTTTGCTAATTCGAACTAGCATGTCCACATTGAGTGGACCCTGAACCGGGGTTAAGGCTGGCCGGAAGCAGTGCCGGCAGGGCATTGGATTAGGACTTAGAGCATGGAGTTGCTGTCTCAGGCTAGCTGAGGGCTGTGCTTAAAGGAACCCGACCCCCACCCCGGACAGACAGTTCTCAGGGGTTCCCTGCTCGCTTGTCTAACTCGATGAGGGACAGCAAAGCAATCCTGGCTTGGAGTGCCCTGAATGCCCACACTCGGCACATCACAGCACTCAGCCATCAGCCCGGCTACACTTGCCCCAGGCTGCCATCCGGGGGGAGGTCAATTGGGGGGCTGCAGGAGAGCTTCCACCCTAAGGAGCCCGCAGAGTCACCCCAGTCCTCCCCATCGGGGGCTCGTATCCCATTCCTCCCTCACCTCCTTCCACTTACCCCTCCCTAGCCCCCCTTCCTGATGTACAAAATAAAGGACACGTGTTCAAAAATAGAAACTCTCTTTATTGAAC